ATGGCTCTTGGGTTAAGAACACTGACTGCTCTTGCAGAGGACCTGGGTTCAGCTCCCAGCACCCACATGGTGGCTAACAACCATCCTAACTCCACTACGAACAGACCCGACGCCCTCTTCTAACTTCCTCAGGCACTGTACAACACAGGTGCACTCACCGACATGCAGGCAAAACACTCTTATACATAAAATTTTTTTTAAAAAAGAACTCTATTAAGCAGAAACAAAACCAGATGACCCAGTAACTTTGAGTCAAGTACCAAAGAAAATATTAACGTATCCTTTACCAGTGACGTGATTGGGGGGGAATGGGACTAGGGATGGGGACAGGCATGGGATGGGACACCAGACGTTTAAGTGCTTTTAAACTGAATTTCACACCCCAGAAATGAGGGAACAGCTCCTGTCAAGGACTGTGATCACCTGCTGGCGATGAACGCTAGACACACTTGCACCAGTGAGTGGCAAAGTGAGTCTTTCTTCTGGATGAAACACTGCCCTTTGATTCATTCATGCACCCTACCACCAGCACTCGGGAGGCAGAGGCAGGTGGATCTGAGATCGAGGCCAGCCTGGTCTACATAGTGAGTTCCAGACCAGCTGGGGCTACAGAGAGACCCTGTCTCAAAACAAAAAATAAAAAACAAAAAACCCTATATGGGACATTTTATGAAAAATTATAGAACTTTTGGTGTGTATTGTGCTGTGTGGTACATAGAACAATAGTAAACCAAGTAGATACTCTTTTATTCCTTTATGAGCATACAGCACTGAGTTCTCAGAACTTCTGATCTTATCCCAACCAGTTACACAAGTACTGGGAACCAAACATCTGTTTATTTGTTAATGCAGCTGAGCGAATGATCATTAGGCTTTAGTGGCTGTAAAATATACACATACATTGTAGTTCAGGCCAAACAATGAATTTTCTTTTGGGGTTAGTTGTAATGATCAATCTTGTATTTGAAAAATAAAACACGTAATTCATACAAAAAAAAAAATAAGAAACTGGTATTTGGGGGGCTGGAGAGTTGGCTCAGCGGTTAAGGGCACTGGTTGCTCTTGCCGAGGACCTGGGTTCAGTTTCCAGCACCCACAAGGCAGCTAACGACCACTTTTAACTCCAGTTCCAGGGGATCTGATGCCTTCTTTTGACCTCCAAAGGCACTGCATGACACAGGTGCATTCACATACATACAGGCAATACACTCAAACACAAAAAATTTTTAATAAAATATTTTTAAAAAAAAGAAATCAGTATTTCATAGAGAAGAAAAAGAAACTACAGAAAAGATAACAGTGAAGAAAATACAGAACAGGACATCTTTCAAGGACTGAAGACTCTTAACATCTTGGGCAGAGAAATCTGCTGGCTGTTTGAATACAAGTATGAAATGTGCTACAGATTATGAAGCTCATACAAAGTCATCCATTTTCATAAATAATCTAACTATGGTTTAGATAGCAGGTTACTTTATTTTGGTCAACTAATGCTAAAAAATGTGATGAATTTTCTAATAAGTTCTCTAAACTACATAGCAATGAAGATTATAATTAAGACAGAAATTATACTAAAACTAATTTCATTGCCAAAGCAACTGGTTTTAATAATGGGAGTTCATACTTTATTATGAGAAATATATAATTTCAACCTCTTAGGAATCCACTTCATTTCAAAAAATGAATAAACAGAACTTACCTTCATTACATTAAATAAAACCTCTTGTCCAAGGCTATCTTTTTCCTTAAAAAAATTGTGTTCAGGGTAAGTTCTAGCAATGTCCCTTCGGATCAACTTTTCACAAGGTGAAGTCATCTTCAGGAGTTCTGAATACTGATCCTTAATTGGCATATTTTGTGCACTGCATAAAAGTTGCCAAACTATTGCTCTAAAGTGGTGGGGTATCCCTTTTCGAACAAGCTCCTAAAAATTAAAAGTAAAATAACATTGTTAAATACATTATTTGTCTCATACCTTGCAAACCCAGAGTTCTGGAGAGGGGTGTATTAGAATGGAAGATTTTATCCAATTCATAATCCACAGAGGTTGTTTAATAATAAACTATGAAACTCTAATGTCTAATGAAACTAAGATTTTGTCCTTGGCTATGTGCTGTTCTGATCAGTGGGTGCTAAAAGGCCATGGATAAATTCTGTCATTTTACTGAGTGTGTGGCTTCTAAAGGTACCAAGGACCTGACAATCTGCAGAGCCATACATGATGCCACACACCCACTACATTATGTTACGTTACGTTACGTTATATTACATTACGTTGGGCTGTTGAAGGGGGAAAAAAGCTAAATACTGGATATCCAAGGATACAGGATAAGACAACATAATTTCTGAATTTACAAAATGAGAGAATTTAACTCATTTCTAAAATTAATTTTCAGCTATGTTTCAACTGTTAATTTTCAGGACCTCTATAACAACGCACAAACTAAAAGTTCTATGGAGCAAGATGAAGGAAGGCATATAAAAATTGACAATATAGCTCCAAAATGACTAGGATCCTTTTGTTTCTCCTAAGTCTCTATTAATCCATGGCTGGCACTCTCTGGGGTGAGAGAAAGAACTTCAACAAACAACACAAATACCTTCACTTGCTTTTCTTTCTTCTTGCGCACATCATCCCATTCATTCACAATTCTTCCCCAAAGAATCCAAGAATCTTCTTCAAGGTGGCTGAGGTTGCTGGAGGCTGATGAACTTGATACAAGAGAGGAGCCACTGTTTCTTCTTGACCCATTTACAGACTTTAAAGACTTACTATCTGTCTCTATCAATCTAAAACATAATTAGAAATTGGTCAAGGTACCATCTCAGTGATACTCGATGAGGTAGTGATGATATTTAAAAGCTTCATTACAATAATTAGTCATTATTTGAAGACAGTTTTAACAATATACATTTCAGAAATGTTTGTTTGGCTGATATCAAATTGTCACACTTTTTCATCTATGCATACCAGCTGCAGAAACTGAAATAGAAAATTATGTTATAATCCTTTTAGTAAAATTAGTCCTGTTATAATTTCTAAAAAATCAAATAAGGGGTCAGCTCAGAAGGTAAAGGTGTTTACTGCCAAACTTGACAACCTGAGTTTAATCCCCAGTACGCACATGGCAGAGGAAGAGAATCAATTCACTTGGATTGTCCCACACATGTAACCACATCTGTGAAAGAATACACATATGCACGCATGCACACATGCATGCACGCAAAAGCAAAATTTAAGGAAGCTTGGCACAGTAATATGCATCAACAGTCTCAGTTACCCAGGAGGCTGAGGCAGGAGGTTCACTTAAAGTCAAGAGTTTGAGATTAGCCTGGATAACACAAGTGGGATCCCTTCTCTCCAAAACAAATCAAAGACAAGTGAGATGGTTCAGTAGGTAAAGGCACTTGCCACCAAGTCTGATGACCTGAGTTCAATCCTTGGGATTCACCTGGTAGAAGGAGAGAACCAACTCCTACATATTGTCTTCTGATCTCTACATGTGCACACCCTAATAAATTTTTTAAATGTAAATTAATTAATTTTTTATTCAAATTAGGGAAAATATGGTATATGAGTATGTATGTGTTTGTGTGTATATGTGTTGATGTGTGTGTGGGTGTGTGAGTGAACTTCAGGGTAAAAAGAACATATGACTGGAATAGACTCAACAGATTCTATGGAATTACTTACTAGTCCCTATCATGTTTACAATATTATCAGACCTAAAAAGTAAAGATTAACAAACCTCTTCTTTTTTTTCATCTGTTTCACACTTTATAACTAATCTATCCAAACACTAACACTAAATTTATACATATATACTTATAATTCTATATTCTCTGGAGAAATAAAAAGACAGGGCAAAACTAGGTCCAGATTCCTGCTCAATAATAGGGTATAGTGGGGCTGGAGAGATGGCTCAGCGGTTAAGAGCACTGACTACTTTTGCAGAGGAGCCGAGTTTGATTCCCAGTACCCACATGGCAGCTACAAACCATCCTTAACTCCAGTTTCAGGGAAATCCAAAGCACTCTCTGACCTCCACAGCATTGCAGGACATAGGTGCACTCACATGCATGCAGGCAATACACTCATACACATAAAATAAAAATACTTTAACAATAATAATAATAATAATAATAATAATAATAATAGGGTATAGCTAAGTAGAAGCTTTTTCAACTTCCTACTCTCCATAATCCCTAGTCTGTCCACAATTCAGGCTAACTAATAGCTTTGATTTATCACTGGGCTTGCACTGTGGAACTGGGATATCCTCCCCCTCCCTTTCTTTATTTTATGTGTATGAGTGGGCTTCTTGCATGCCTGCAGAGACCAGAAGTGCTGTCAGATTTCCTGGAACTACAGATACAAACAGTTATGGACTTCCATGTGGGTGCTGAGAACAGAACCCAGCTCCTCTGCAAGAGCAGTAAGTGCTCTTAACCAATGAGCCATCTCTCCAGATCCTGAGATTTTTTACAATCCCTGTTAACTTTTGGGTTTGTAGCTCTGTTTTAGGCCTCCTAGATAAAAAAAAAAAAAAAAAAAAGATGATGAGTTAAGGAAACTTCAAAGATATAGTCCATGACTCGTTACAATATAAAGTCCCTTATTTCCTTCACAAATGCATAGGTTATCAAGATGTGGCTTTAAGCAGGGCATGCATGGTGATGCATGCCTTTAATCCCACCAGCAGAGGCAGGTGGATCTCTGTGGCCAGCCTGGTCTACGAAGCAAGTTCCAGGCCGGCTGGGGCTACAGGGAGACCCTGACTCAAAAAGACGAAAAAAAAAAAAAAAAAAAAAAAAAAAGAAGAAGAAGAAGAAAAGAAAATCTTTATACTATAAAAGAAAACTATAAATGGTTCAGACAGGAAGTCCCAAAATACATGTTTGTTTATTTAATGTCCCTTTCAGTAGCTCTTCAAAAGCAGTCACCTGCTTAGGGCACAGCAAATGCTCTCAATACTACTTCATGAAATATGAAACTGAGACAGGAAAAAAAAAGCATGAGTCAAATCCTATCTCGTGGATTACAGAACCACCTTCTGGAGGTCAGATCTATAACCTACATGTTTATATTCCTTACAGAATTTAGCCTAGCATTAAGTGTTCATTTAACCAAAATAAACATATAATCCCATAGGTTTTTAAAAAGCCCTGTAAGTTCAATATATGCCATATTGAAAACACCATAATAAAAACCAAACAAACAACTTCTATCCTTATTTATCAAAATTTTAATATATTTTCTTGGCAACAGTAATTAAGATAAAATTTGCCAAATACTGATAGAAAAATGGGGTGGGGACAGGGGAGAAGAGAAGGGAAGGGAAGAGAGGGGAGGGAAAGAGAGGGGAGGAACAATAAAGGCCAATCATGGTATTGGGAAACTGTAATCATGAATCACAGCACTCAGGTGTGCTGAGGCAGGTAGATGTTGAGTGTGAGGTCAGCCTAAGCTACATGGGAAGACCCCATGAAAGAGAAGAGGAAAGGAAGAAGACAAGCCATAGACTAAAGGAAAAACTCTCAGTTCATGTATCTGACATGAAGATTAGCATCTAGAATATATGAAAAACTCATAAAATTAGTAATTAAGAAGCCAGGCACATAGGCTTGGGAAATGGTTCAGTGAGTAAGAGCCTTGCTGCCCAAGCACAAGGACCCAAGTTTGAATCCTCAGCGCCCACATAAAAGCAAGTGTAGCCACCCATGTCTAAAACTCTGGCGCCATGGTGGACAGAGACAGGAGGACCACTGGGGCTTGCTGGCTAACAGTCTAGCTCCAGGTCCAATGAGAGACCCTGTCTCAAGAGAACAAGGCAGGGAGTGAGACAGCAGGACATCTGTCTTCCTCTGGCCTCTGCATGCACACATGCTGGCACACATCCACACACATCCACGTGACATGCACAATCACCACACACATGGATACACCAAATGTGGTGGTTTGAATGAAAATGTCCCCCATTGGCTCCAAGTATTTGGACATTTTGTACCCACTGGTGGCCCTGTTTTGAGAAGTCTTAGAAGGTATGGGTATCCTGGAGGAAGCACGTCACAGGGGGAGGGCTTAGAGAGTTTTTAAGCCTTGCCAGATCTCTAGTTGCTCTTTTGCTTCCTGTGCCTGCTTGGTGATGTGAGAGCTTAATTTCTGCTGCTCTTGCTCCAGCCACCTTCAGCCTCCATGCCTCCCCACCATTGACAAACTGTAATTCCCCTAGATCTGTAAGCTCAAATAAACTCTTGCTTCTATAAGTTGCTCTGGTGAGTGTTTCTATCACAGCAATCAAACACACACACACACACACACACACACACACACACACGAAGCTAATAACACTTTTATTTAAAACAAGAAATGATGTGTTCCAAAACAAGATAATCAAGTGATCAATAAGCACCTGAAAAAGATTCAACATTTTTAGATACCAAAGAAATGCAAGTTCAAATCTTACTAAGCAAATATTAACATAACCCTAACTCTACAGACTGACCATGTAAATATTAACTGGGGTGAAGTTATTGTAATTGCCATAAACCAGTATCAGAAGTATAAAATGGCAGGAGCTGGAGAGCTGGCTCAGAGGTTACTAGAACTGGCTGCTCTTGCAGAAGATTCAGGTTCTGTTCCCAACACCTATTTGCGGGCTAACAACCACTTGTAACTCCAGTTTTAGGGGATGTGATGTCCTCTTCTGGCCTCTAAGGGCATTGCATGCATGTGATACACTTCACACATGCAGGCAAAACACTCAAACACGTAAAATAAAAATAAATTTTTATAAATTAAAAAAGGATAAAATGGCATGCCCACTTTGAAGGACTAATATGACCTAGCAAGTGAAATGAAACATAGCCATCCCCCCACCTAAAAAAGACATGTAGTTGGACATCCAAAGCCTTTACTTGTAATAGCCCTAAACCATAACAACCCAAATATTCAAAAAAAAAAAAAAAAAAAAACGCTTGACGAAACTGTGGTGTACTCACTGCAGTATTGTTCAGTAATAAAAAGAATAAAAAGAAACAAACTGGCAAAAATATGCATCAACATGGATGAATTTTATATGCATTAGGTTGTACAAAAGAAGTCAGACACAAAAGATTATATTTAACATGATTCTATTTATATAAAGATGAAGAGCACAAGATAGAAGAAAATATGGGAGTAAATCTTCATGCCTGAGTTATGTAAAACTTTCTTTAACATGACTTTTTTTTTGTCAAAAAAGAGATAAAACTAGAACTCATCAAAATTTAAAGACATTTTGTACTTTACTAGCTACTGCCAAGAAAGAGGAAATACTACCCAGAGAAAGGGAGAAAATGTTTGTAAATCATAAGGGACTTAGAGTTTATCAATAGAGCCAGGCGTGGTAGCACATGCTTTAATCCGGGTACTCCTGAAGTAGAGGCAGGCCTGGTCTACACAGTGAGTTCTGCTCATAGCTCACAGTTTTCTATATCGCTTCTGCTCAGCCTGCTGCCCTCTTGTAGTGTACTCAATAAACTATTTTCAAAAAAAAAAAAAAAGATACACAATTGGCCAATAAGCACAGGAAAGATGCTCGACAGGATAATTACCAGGGAAACTGCATGACTGGACGACAGCTAGAATCAAAAGGACAAATAACAGCAAGTATTTATGAGCGTATGGAAACAACAGAATGCTCACACACCAAAGACAGCATATAAAATGCTACAATCACTCCAGGAAACAGCCTGACAGTCCCTCAAATGGTTAAACACCAACTACCACACAACTCAGCAATTCTACTCCCAGGTACATATCCAAGAGAAATGAATATTTATGTCCACACACAAAGAAAAATGAGTACAAAAATGTTCATAGCAGCATTATTCAAAATGGGGGTGAAGAGGGAAAAAACAGAAAACTGAAAAGTCCACTAACTGGCCAGGCATGATGACTCAAATCTATAACCCAAGCCCTTGAGAGGCTCTGTCAGGAGGACTGCCAGGAGTCTGAGGCCAGCCTGGATTACAGCGAGACACTGTCTTTAAAAAGCAGTTGTTTTAGGAAACTGAAATGCTAGAAAAGTACACAGGAATTTTCTAAATCTTAATAACCATATTATACACAGTATGAACGCCTGCTAAAATTCAACTGTACACTTAACAGCTGAGCATCTCTCTGTAAACTAGTCATTGATTTTATATTTGCAAAAATACTTTATATTTGCAAAAATACTGTTTAATGGCAATGAGATTATGAATTGAGAGTTTCCTTTAATTTTAATCCTTGCAAAACGTCTTTAAAAATCATGACTATTACAATGGAAGATCGTTTTTATATATTTTACAAAAAGGGGAAGATGTGAACACTGTATCTGCTTTCTTAAGTTTCTTGAACACTAATTTTTTTTAATTCTCTACGCCCCCCCAAATTTTTTTTATAATGAACAAGTCCCTCTGTCTGAGACTGAAATGTTTTGGAGAATATATGAGACTATCAAGTCTCTTCCCAGGGATGGTTTGTTCAAAGAGGACCCAAGGTAAGACTTGGTTCCTCACGATTATAAATGGGGCTTAAACATTCCTAACACCTAGTGATAGCTACATCATGACATCATAGCACACTCTATTATGAGTTTGTGATGATGGTGGCATTACAAAACAACCCTGCTGCACTGCCAATCCCGTCCAGTACATCATCCCTGATCAACTCTTGGCCCCACCCAGGCTGCCCAGAGACCCTGTCTGGTGTGTTGGCTGGCCGCAGCAGTCTGTCTGACGCGAGCCCCAGGCACAGGCAGGGGCGGAGGGATCCACAGAGGCTGAGGCTTCGAAGGAAGAAACCGCCCCTGCGGCAGCACAAAAAAGGACATCCACAGGGTGATGCACCAACCGATGCTACGGATGCTGCGACCACTGCAGTAGGCCCGGGAGCTGAGTGGGCTTCGGCCCTCAGAGTGTCTGCCAGGGCCAGGCCGGCGCTGCCCAACTCCTTCTCTTCTGTGGCTGATCCACAACCAGCAAGGCGGCCTCAGGCGCTTGGTTTCAGCCTCATCCAGCACCGGGACCGCCACCGTAGCCTCCCACCATGGCTCTGAAGAGAATCCACAAGGAACTCAACGACCTGGCACGGGATCCCCCCGCACAGTGTTCAGCAGGTCCTGTCAGAGAAGATATGTTCCACTGGCAGGCAACAATAATGGGGCCAAATGACAGTCCCTATCAGGGCGGAGCATTTTTCTTGACAATCGATTTCCCAACAGAGTACCCATTCAAACCACCAAAGGTTGAATTTACAACAAGAATTTATCATCCAAATGTTAACAGCAATGGGAGCATTTGTCTGGATATTCTACGGTCACAGTGGTCTCCAGCACTAACTATTTCAAAAGTACTTCTGTCCATCAGTTCTCTGTTGTGTGATCCCAATCCAGATGATCCTCTAGTACCTGAGATTGCTCAGATCTACAAAACAGATAGAGAAAAGTACAACAGAACAGCTCGGGAATGGACTCAGAAGTATGCGATGTGACTAAAGAAATTATCGGGTATCCTCTACAAATAAAAGATAGGGGAACTGTGAAAGAAAAAGTTCTTTTGATTCCCAATTGACTGTTTCATATGCGCCCGCCCATGCCACAGCCACCTAGTCTTTCCCTATGCACACTCTTTACCTGACACAGTAGTGCTGTGTGTTGTACCTACCGGGAACAGCAACCAGAAATACTGTACTTCTGTACCAACATTGTCCCCTAGCAGAGAAGCATTCTCCAGGCATCAACCTACATGTGAAACTAAAAGTAATCTTTATTGACATATCTGGATAACCACATGGTGTGAGGGGTGGTGAGTACACAGTGTGTGCTTGGATGGGGAAAAGCTCCACCAACCTGTAGGGGACTTTTTTAGGGAGAATCCATTTAAATTCAAACCGGTTATGAAAAGTAAAGTGAAGATCATGAATGTTTGTGTACTCATTTTATTCCAAAAGACTGCAACTTAAAGTTAACAATCACCCAGATTAAACTCTACTCACCTCCAGCATTCTAAAGTTTAACTGGTCAACAAAAATGGATTGGTGCTCCTAGTATACAAAGTGTGATTTACTTTGTTCCCAACTCTTTTATCTCTCTGACCCTTCTTCCTTCAACCTCGTTCTTTCCATATTCTTCAGTTTATACATGGTTTTTCAGTTAATACATTGCTAATAGCTCTTATTTTTCTCATAACTGTTTAATCCATTTGGATGTAAGGGTAAAAATTCAATTTGATGGAAAAACTTGTGTATAAAGACCCAATTGCTCCTCTAGAGCTTGTACATTCAAGAACAATCTGTGTAATAAACCAATTACTCCAGTCAATAGATATATTGTATGTGAATAGGCCATTTTTGCTTTAAGAACTTCTTTTTAGCTGAAGCTAGTAAATTTTCTATCAGCTCTGACATGCTTCCATTTATACTGGTTGCATTTCAAATCATGAAACAATTCCGGTTTACATAGTAAAAAGGTATCTTAAGAGTAATTTTATTGAACAAGATAGAGGCATAACCTTAAAGGCATTTTCATGGAATGTATGTGCAGCATTGTAAGAACATGACTTAAATAAGAAACTTGCTTTAATAAAGAAACTAAGCTGCATTTCACCAAAACCTTTAACACTCCTTGATATACAAGACATAAAAGTATTACTATGTGGTAAGTTAAGCCTCTGTGACTGTAATTTTAAGATCAGCTTTGACCAAATCCAGGAAACAGCACAATATTAGAATGTCTTCATAATTTCGTTGCGCTAACATTTACAGAACATTCATACAATTTTAAATTGTGTTTGTTGTATGTAGCTCTTTGGAGTCTTCACCTGACTCCAGTAAAACACCATTTGGAAACATGTAAACTGTGCTTGCTCGAAATACCATTCATGTGAACTAAGCAAATTACACATCCTTTCCTTTTCCTAATGTAACTGTAAACCAACCTAGCCTGAAGGCTACAGCTGATGTTCTCTAGGCATCAGTTTCTTTAAAATGCATCTTTAGGGGCTGGAGAGATGGCTCAGTGGTTAAGACAACTGGCCACTCTTGCAGAGGACTTGGGTTTGATTGCCAGCACCTCCATGCTGGCTAACAATCATTTTAACTCCAGTTCCAGGGGATCCAGTGTCCTCTTCTGACCTCTGAGGGCATTGTACAACATGGGTACACTTAAATATATGCAAGCAAAACATTCATACACTTAAATAAAATGTAAATAATAAAATGCATCTTTATACACTTGCACAAAAATTGAATAAATTCTACTGCTTTTAGCGTCGATGAATAAATAAGCAAAGCATACTGCCAGTGTATTAACTACACTAAATCCTTTATATTTTATTTCATTTTATGTGTATGAATGCATTGCCTGCATATATGTAAGTGCATCCAGTTCCAGGGGATCCAATGCCCTCTTCTGACCTCCATGGGCACTGCACGATACAGGTGCACTTACATACATGCAGGCAACATACTCATACAGATGAAATAAAATATCTTTTAAAAAATGATATGCAGATGTCCTAGTTTGTTTCTCCATTGCTGTGACAAAACACTCTGACCACTACCAACTTGGGAGGAAAGGGTTTATTCAGCTTACATCTCCTGGGTCACAGTTCATTAGGGAACCCAAGGTAGGAACTCAGGGTAAGAACCTGGAAGCAGGAGCTGGAGCACAGGCCATGGAGGATCACTGCTTACTGACTTGCTCCCCTGGCCCCTACTCAACCTGCTTTCTTATGTAACACAGGCCCACCTTCCCAGGGGTGATACCACCCACCGTGGGCTGGGCCTTCCCACATCACTCAACAATCAAGAAGATGTCCCATGGACATGGCCACAGGCCAGTCCAATGAAGGCAATTCCCCAGCTGAGGCTCCTTCAACCCAGGTGTGTCAAGTTGACACTAAAGCTATCCAGCACAGCAGACTATAAATGTAGATAGAGTCAGGTATTCTCAAGTCTAATTGGTAGATGTGGTACATAACTTAGAAGGCTCCAAAACAGATGGCGACCTAATTTCAACAGAATTGAGAAATTAAGACAGGGTGTAAGACATACTGCCTGAAAATCAACAATTTCCAGGCTTGAGCCTGGCAACTGGGAAATGGTAATGAAGCATTACTGAGAAGTCTGTGGCTACTGAGAAATTCATCCAAAACTTATTCACTTAGTTTCTTCCTCTGTCATCTGGTTCACCATTTTCCATGAATTTATTTTAAAAAGTTAAAGCTATCCACCTCAATTTCCATCCTATCAAAATTTCTTATGACTAATCAAAATCATTAAAGGAAAATGCTGTCCAGCATTAATATCACCTCCATAGGTCTCTGTGGCTGTTTCTTATCTGCCACTACTACAGTAATTCAGAGGACAAGATTTTTTCACTCTCCCAAACATCACAGAAGAGGTGGCAGAAAGATTACAAGAGCAGGAAGATGGAGAGGAGTGCTGTCAAATGCACCTCTGGACATGACATGGCAACAGCTGTGGTTACCTGTGCAAGGCTGAGCCTATCAATATTCCATCATGAATGGAGAGGGGCTCATGAGGCCTCACTCCTCCCTGAGAGGAGCCATTGGCAGTTAATAGCTACCAGAATAGGGGGGAGTCACTTTCCTAAGCAGTATAGGTTAGTTGTCTATGCTCCAGGATACACCCCCCAACCATGCTCGCCAAGAAACCCTAATTAAATTCAGTGGCATGCACGTGCGCATGTGTGCACACACAGACACACACACACGAACAACAACAACAACAAAAAACCATGGAAGTAGAAGAGGAACTTGTTGGAAAGAAGAAAGGGTTTAGCAGGAGTGAGATTGGAGAGGTAATAGGTAATGGGGGGTGTACATGATCAAACTGTTATTTACATATATGAAGTATAGAAGGAAAAGAAAAGGTTTTCTTATGGCTATTAATATTTATACTTTGAAGTACTTGGAGAATATTCTTGTAGATAACACCAACAGCAGTTGAAAACATAAGTCTAAAGTTCAGGGGAAAAAAAGGCAAAAACTACAGAAATTTGGCAGTTATTTGTGAACAGCTTACATTTACACTTTGAATATCCTATGTGATTCGGCATACTTTTCCTGTGAATATCAGAGCAAAATAAAAGAGCAACTGGCCAACATAAGCTCAATTATAAAGAGCTAAGGAAGAAAAATGCTGTATGAGAAAACCAAATGGAAAGCTAAACACACTGTCACTTGGAAGCACAGCACCTTCTTATAAACGGAACAACTTTTCAAACATGAGGCTCCAACACCTCTAATGTTATTCCAAGACAGCATGTGTACATGCTGGGAAAAAGTAATTTGTCACTAATTGGCTGGCATCAGTAAAATCAGACTCACTGCAATTCTTACAGGCTGCTACAACAAAGTAACTTTATGTTAGGCAATTTATAAACAGATATTTATTGTTCACAGTACTAGAACCTGGGAAGTCCAAGATCAAGGCACTAAAATTCCGTGTCTGGTGAGGGCCGTTTCTCACTAAGAGTGCCTTCTATTAAGAGGTCCACATATGAGAGAAGCTATCAAAGGGCTCCCTAAAGCCTCTTTATAAAGGCATTAATCTCATCCGTGAGAATAGAGCTTTCCAAAGGCTCGATCTCTTAATAACATATTCAGGGTTAGGGTTCAACACCTGAATTTTGTAGGGTCACAAACATTTAGACTACAGAAAAGTACATGTCTGATCCAGAGAGGGGTCACATGCTTTCCTGTCAACAAAACATACAAATTCCTATCTCTGAGCAACAGAAAAAAACAAGGGGAGAATTAAGAGAAAACACGAGTTTAGCATAAAAAGCAACTCAACACAAAAGGCAGATGTCTAAATGACAGATCTCTCCAGTTCTGAAAAGTGATCTCTTACTTTGCTTTGTCTCTTTACAGAAGAAAAGTAAATATATTACAAAATTCTGATCACAGGGCTGGAAAGATGGCTCAGTGGTTAAAAGCTGCTCTTGCAAAGGACCCAGGTTCGGTTCCCAGCATCCACATGGTATCTGACAGTCATCCATAAAGGGATCTGATGCCTTCTTCTGACCTCCATGGGCACTGTATGCCATGGATGCACTTACATATGTGCAGGCAATACAGTCATACACATGAAATAAAAGTAATTAAAATATTTTTTTTAATTCTGATCAGAAACCAATAGTTTCAAGATTCCTTTATACAGGCAAGTTGATCAAAAATTAAAAACAACCCTCAGACATTATGGCTGATGTCTATAATCCTAGTACATGGAAGGCTGAAACAGAACTGCCATGAGTTTGAGGCCAGCCTGGGGTACATAGTAAGTTTCATGACAGTCTGAGATGTAGTGGGAGACTCTAAAAAAAAAAAATCCTGCCTCCCATGAAAAACAAAAATCCTCAATGAAAACAAAAATAGTTCAAATGAAGAGCTAAAGCTTTCCTTTAACTAAAAATAAATGTAATTTTAACACGGACTAAAATACCTATTTTTCTTGTAAGCTTTCCACTTCCTTACTATTGCTGGGCATTTGTAGAGTATTCTTAGGGAAACTGAGATAATGTTGTATTGGTAAAGTTATATTTGATGAACATTAGACCATTTAGACCAGAATGTCCTATAACAGAAATATAATGCAAACCACTTATGTAATTTTAAATGTTCCCAGGCAGCAGCCACATTTGAAAATTTTTAAAGTGACTGACTTTTATAATTACTTTTTGCATTTGGGTTATTTGGGTTCCTTTGTTTCTTAGTTTTGAGATAGGGTCTCACTATATAGCCCAGGCTAGTCTGGAACTTGTGGTGATCCTTCTGCCTCAGGCTTCCAAGTGCTAGGATTACAAGCATGATTATTTTATTCTGTTCTTTAAAATCTGGCGCATTACTTTTATAGCGAATCTAAGTCAGATTAGCCACATTTCAGGTGCCCAACTGCCAAGTGGGAAACATGACCAAAAGACTAGACAGTACAGAAGATCTAAATGTGGGTAAGAGGACATTTAAACTAAAATATCAAAGATTCATAGTTATCATATTTTAAAAATATAAAACATTCACTTTAATATAAAAAACATTTTCTATTTCTTCATTCTAATTCTTTCCCCATGAAATATGTGCTAAAAAATAGTTTTATTACAAATTAAGTAAAAAGAAACAAACGTTTGCTATGCCAAAAATTTAAACAACACAAATAATGAGCAGTTCAAAATTTAAAATAGGAACACTTTCCTTCTAAATTAAAATGCACTATCACGCTTGAAACTTACCTCCTTAAATTCATCTCTGCCAATGCCTTTGTATTTTTAATATGAAGAAAACCATTTTAATATATAAACAACAAAAAAAAGCTGTCCTATTTCAACTTTGGATCCATCAATTATTAACTTTCTTCAAACAGATCTTTGATACTGCATTGAACTATTTCTTCACAGTTTTCTGGGGTTGCTACATACACTCACCTTTTTTGGGGGGAGGGGGGGGTTGATACAGGGCCTGTAGCCCCGGCTGCCCTGGAACTTACTATGTAGATCAGCTAGTCTGGAGCTCACAGAGATCCACCTGCCTCTGCCTCCCCAGTGCTGGGACTAAAGGCATACACAACACCCAGCTTTTTTCTTCTCTTTTTTTATTTTTACATACACTTATTTTTAAAAAGTAATAGCTGCAATAAAACCATGTGAAGGAAACTAATTTGATATTTTCATGTTCTTTACATTACAATTTTCTAGAACATTAACACTATTTTAATATTTCCTAAATCAAGCATTAAATAATTCAGCCAGAGTAATATCTTCATATGGGGAGGAAACCATAAATGCTAAATCAGAGTGTCTGATTATAAGTGTATGATGTTATAATTAGTAATCTTGTCAAGGGTTTTACTTTAGACATATAAACATCATTACAAACCAAAGAAGTTATTAGAGAATTTTTTTTTGAGACAGGGTCTCCCTGTATCCCTGTATCCCAAGCTGACCTGGCACTCATTATGTAGTCCAGGCTGGCCTTGAACTCACAAAGATGCGCCTACCTCTGCCTCCCAAGTGCTGGGATTAAAGGCATGTGCCACCACGCCTGGCTATCAGATAATTTTTAAATTATTATTCTTACATGATAGGGTGGCAGGGCAACACAGAATTAAAAAAACTAGACCTTAGTGTATGACATTTTATTTTACTTTGTTTACATGTTAAACATGTCTGTCTTCTAATACTGGTCTCTTAAAGGCACAAGATGTTACCACATTAACCCCTATCTACACATAAATCGTGACTATGAATTTCAAGTTTTTAATAGTTTTATGGAAGGGAATTATGCAGATGTTCATATTTATTTCATTTTAATCGAAATTTCACAGATAAATACATATCTCAAAACTTATCAAATTGTACATTTAAGTATGTGCCATTTATTATGTCAGTTATACATCAAAAAGTTGTTAAAAATTATCTTTGTTGCCCTTAAAGCTGGTAGCATTATATACCTTGGCTGGGCACAAAAGGCTGGTCTTGTCTATATTCTTTTGTGGATAATGGTTCAAAGAGCTTCTAATAACAACACAGTGAACAGGAACGAAGGATTCAGAATATAGATTCTCAGCAGAGGAAACAACTACTCTTATTTTCTACTGATAATGAGAAAGAGATATATCCTATCTTCTATGGATAACATTTATGAAATGATATCTCACTCTGAAGCATGACAAGATACTCGTATTGAACTGGATTATTTTATACTTTAACCCAAAGGGCTAACTTTAGAAAATTTATAATTAAAATTTAGAAAATTTTAAAATACAAAAAGGTTGGATTGGGCATAAAACTCAATAGTAGAGTGTCTGCCAAGCATATGCAAGGCCTGAGTGGCTCTATCCCCAGCACTGAAAACTAAATAAATAAAATAAAACATGGTATTTTATTTGCTTTAAAATTTCATAAACTGCAAGAAAGATTTAAGAAATGTGTTATATTAAGAAAATGAATCTAAAACTATCTAAGTGAGAAGAAAAAAATTAGTCAAAAACCAACTTCTACAAGAAAACACTTGAATATGTCTGTTAAGTAATTTTGATAAACAAGGAGCAAAAATTCAGAAATAAAACATTCTTTTCTTTTTTGTCTTTTTGAAGCAGGGTCTCCCTGTAGCCCCAGCTGTCCTGGAACTCACTATGTAGACCAGGCTGGCCTTGAACTCACAGAGATCCACCTGCCTCTGCCTCCCAATTGCTGGGACTACAGGCATGCGCCACCATGTGCAGCTCTAAACATTCTTAATATGAGTAAATATTTAAATGTTGACTTTAGTTTGATTTGTATGATAACTGAAACTCTGAGACATGCCAAGGAATTTCACTCACCTATTTTGTTCTTCCAGCTTAGCCAGGAGTTCTAAGTCGTCTGGACTCAACTGTGATGGGGAAGATGGTGAAAGTGCTGGTGTTGACAGTGTGGTAGACGAGGATGTAGTGTGTAATGAAGCAGATGGACTTGCCACCTGACTGGCCATCTGACTGACTGTATGCGATACTGTGTTCTTTACCCATGAGAGAGTAGAACTCAGCTTTCCTGCAACCTTGTCTGTCGCCACCTAAGGATAAGAACAAAAACTGTATGTTTTAGTTTTGTTTTTGGTTTTTTTGTAAGAAAAATATTTTATTCACCATATATACACACAACCACAAACACATTTACATATCTTCTTAAAATTGTTATTTTTATTTTATATGAATGAGTATGTATTGCCTGCATGTGTGTAAATGCACCCATGTCATGCAATGCCCTCGAGGTCAGAAGAAGGTGTCACATCCCCTGGAACTGGAGCTACAGATGGTTGTTACCTACTATGTGGGTCCTGGGAATAGAACACGGGTCCTCTGCAAGAACAGTCAGTGCTCTTACCCGCTGTGCCATCTTTCCAACCCCACGTTTACATATCTTATTCTTAAATTTTTCACACAGTTCTTTTTCTTATTTGCTTGTTTGAAACATGGTTGTGCTATGGAATCCAGATTGGCCTTAAATTCTTAGTCCCCCTACCTAAGTATCCCAAATGCTGAGATTGCATGTCTGTGCCATAACACTCAGCTTATTTTGCTTTTTATATTGATTTTAAAAAGTTGCTAAACTTTAGGTAACTGACTATCAAAGACCATTGCTGAATTTATTTATTTTTATTTTTATTTTTGTTGTTTCACTTTTGATTTTTTTTAATTTAATAACCACATGATTAGAAGAAGCATTTCATTACAGCTTTAACATATTCAGTAACACATTCCATAGAAAGGATACATCTCTTTATAAGGTGGCTGTAAAATTATAGATTCACAGTTGAATTAATACAGTCATACAATATTGAACTCAGTAACCCTGTAAGACATAAAACTGAATGAGTTTTGACCGTTTAAAGATCTCCATTTCATTTTGAGATATGCTGTTTCCTACATTTTTAATGCTACTAACACTTATATGTTTCCAGATGTGTCTTTAATCTCTATGTACCTAATTATTACCAGTCACAGTCGGTTATACTCGGATCCTTAGTACCTGACTATGGATATAAAGTTATCAGATAGATTTCACTGGTAATGTTTATCACCTCTACTATTTAACATGAAATAAATTTGTATGCTTCCTCCTCAAATATAAGACTTTTTAATTTGTTGATTTTTCTGTGTATATATCATACAGAACATCCCACACAAACATATTCATCTATATACCCACTTCCCAAATGGCACCCACCCATAGTCTTTGTTTTAGGAAGATCAGCTGTTCCTCATCTAGCAGCAATCGGTTGTCAACATTCTTTTAGATAAGATTGGGGTCTGCTGTTCAATTTCTCAGTTCTATGCTGGGTTACTACCTGGGAGTCCCTTTGGTCACCCTGGCCAACAACTCCAAAGAAGGTATCTCCTATCTGGCACTATTTCTTGTTATGTAGCCTTTAGCTATACACATGGACTCTTAAAAATTTATATTGGCCCCTTTAATCTTTGCTAATACTTTCCTTTTGTGTGTTTAAGGCCATACAGTTGGCCCAGATAAACCGATGAGTAATGTTTATCACCTCTTCTAATTAATATGACGTAAATTTTCATGCTTCCTGCTAAAATATAAGAGATTTTTTTTAATTTGTGGATTTTTTGTGTGTATATGTGTATATCACACAACATCCCAAACCATCTTATTCAACTACAAACCCACTTCCCAGATGGCACCCTCACATAGCCTCCCCCACCCCCCATAGAGCCCTTATACTCTGATATCCCTGCTACTGTCCGCTGTGTTATCAGCACCCCCAGCTATTCCCCACTACTTGTCCATCTGATGAATCTAGTCAGCCTATCTAGAGGTCTTTGTTTTAGGAAGGTCAGCTGTTCTTCATCTAGCAGCAAACAGTTGTCAATACTCCTTTAGGTAAGACTGGGGTCTGCTGTTCATTTTCCCAGTTCTATGCTGGGTTACTATCTGGGAGTCCCTTTGGCCACCATGGCCAACAACTCAGAAGGTATCTCCTATCTGGCATTGTTACTTGTTATGTAGCCTTTAGCTATACATGTGGACACTTAAAAAATTAATCCCAGCACCCAGGAGGCAGAGGCAGGCAGATCTCTGAGTTCAAGACCAGCCTGGTCTACACAGTGAGTTCCAGGACAGCAGGAGCTACAGGCCCTGTGTCAAAAGGGCCAAAAAAAAAAAATTTATATTGGCCCTTTAATCTTTGGTTATACTTTCCTTTTGGGTGTTTAAGGCCATACAGTTGGCCCAAATAAATTTATTTTTATTCTTAAGGTCGTTTGAGGATCTGTTCCTCAGGGGTCACATGGGCTTGGGAGGAGCACCTGGCTCCTTTCTTTTACCAGTTCCACCTGCATGAAGATAAGTCAAAGGTCCTGCTTGACCATGGCTACCTTCTCTTGGAAGCATGGAGGAAATGATTCCTCTGTGTTAACCCTCCTCTTTGCAGACTGGACACTGGTTAAAATCCATCTGGTGGGGGTCTCCTCGGCCTCCTTGATAAAGAGGACAGGTGACCCACCACAATCACAGGACATTTTGAGAGATGCTCATAGTCCCTTGGAACTAGTCAACCTAGGAGGGCAAGGAGGGAAAAAATGTCCTTTATGTCCCTCTAACCAAATTATTATAGGCCTCAAAGTATGTCTGTTAAACATCCAAGAAGGTTAGTTCCACCAGTCTGCTACTTTTAATAACTGTGTGTCATGTAGATATATCTTGGGCAAAGACCAATTGTTCTCAGATAAACCTTTCCTAGACACATATTTCTTGATCTGGTATGCATAATTTCTCAGTAGGTTGTTCGAATAATATAGTTCCCTCTGGTTTTTAAAACTAGCTAGGTATTATTTATCTCTCACATTGTCTCACCCCTCCATTATGGTTTCCCTCTTAAGGTGCCCCCATTTGTCCCCTTTCACCCTTAATAATACCCTTCTCCTACAGTCCTACCTCTCTTGAGCTCCTTTCCCTTTATCCCCTAGGTTCCTTGTATACCCTTCCCTCCCCCCTCCCTTAAACCAACCCAATTTTTATCCATATATCCCTTATTTAAGCCTGTTTCCTACTGTTCTTCTCTTTCAGGTTCTTTCTTTTCCTTTATCTCCCTGGCTCTTTTCCATAATCCTGGTTCATGTAGTTATGCCTGGATATATACTCACATATCAGGGTTTGGTTCTAGGATCCACATATGAGAGAGAATATATGTCGATTGTTTTGCTGAGTCTGTGTTACTTCACTTAATATAACAGTTTCCAGTTCCATCCATTTACCTGCAAATTTCATGATTTCATCTTTCTTTACTGCTGAGTAAAACTCCATCGT